TCCTGCTCAGATGTGATCCTTTTATAAATGTTGGGTTTGCAGTTTTTACCTTGTAAGCTTAACGTTGGGTTACCGAGGAGTTTGTTATTAACAACAGCTCGTCAAACAAGTAAATTCACTGAGTAAGAGAGATGTTGGCAGCGTGGGGGGGACGTCTACAAATCTCTATAGTTTACACAGATCTGAGGAGACACTCGACTGTTGAACTCTGGCTGATGTGTTTAAATGTAAATCCTTTGTGTTGGTTTTCTTTGCCCTCTAACCTTTAGAGCCTTACAGGATTATATATTGACCTGCTGGTCAATGGAGTGTAGATGCCTTCATTCAGTCATTAAATGGAGATTAAAATATGGAATTCTGATTTCCTCTTTATGGAAGGGAACCTGCAGGCTTGAGCTTGATGCGTTTCACTACGATTCATTTTTGCACGTCTGTGTTTTTAGGCTCGAATGTCCATTTGACACAGCGGTGGAGTTGGCTGCCTTCTCACTACAGGGTAAGCACATCAGTGTTTCACACACAGCTTATGTTTTATGTAGCTGGTGATTGTTCTGGTCTGGAGATTCGGCTTGGAAAGTCAGTGCAGCCAGATCTTACAGCAGCTGGAGAACTTTAGTCCATGCAAACTAAACGAGGCTGCAGAGCTGTAGTTTCAAATGCTAACTTGGTGTTCTTGGTGAGGTTGTGTGCAAACGAAGCTCTCACATCACAGATGCGTATCTGGAACCAGTCATGGCAGTCTTTGACTTACACTCTGAGCTCCTACCTTCACACACCTGCAGTAGCTGTTTCATAAGTCCAGTGTTTACCTGCAATGAGCCATTTCAGAGGTGCTGCAGAGGAGCAAAGACTGAGTCGCTGGAGACATTTATGGAATGGGCTTGCGTGCACCAACCCTTGTGTGCTCACACTTACACATGGTCATTGTGGGTAAATGCCAGCTCATTAGTGCTCGATCCTCTTCTGTGGCCCCCTAATCCAGCACCCTTTCTGCCTTCTCCCTGCCCCTCAGCTGAGCTTTCTGCCTTTATCTTCAACTTTTTCACATTTCTGTTGTTGGTCCACGTTTAGGGATAGGCTAAAGTTATATTTTCTCCCCCTTTATCCCGAGGCTTAGCTCACAGCTGGACTAGCTAAACACTGAAGATCACAAACCTGAGCTGCTTCTGTGTATCCAAACACTGCAGCCATAATCACGACTCTTTCTTTCCCTTCTGTCAATTTTTCTGTGTGATGGTTTATTTCTTATGCTGGCAGCTGGAAATACCCGTTACCTCATTGGAGACTTTTAGGTGGGTGATTCAGTATAAAACCAGTTAAATCTGAGGAATTCATGCACACAGTAGTGTTCAGAAGTCTCGAGCAGCCCCTCATTTCTTTATGTTTTGCTTCCATGGAGCCAGACTTTCCTGTAATTTTCAAAGTGCTCTTTCTTTGGACGATGGCTGCTTTTTCTCTCGCTTTCAGTCCAATCCTTGTACC